CCTCCCTCCTGCCAGAAACAAGGAAAATGGAAACATATATATAAAGTAGAATCCTGTGCATCATCCAGTATGATACTGATACTGCCGGCTGTAGACAAGGCTGAAGCACTGTCTGAGATTAACTTAAAAGAATCAAGAATTCTTTTGTTGAAAATATCCACTCCTTGCCTAACCTTTCTTATCCCATTTGTCATTATTAATCCAGAATTCTGACAATAGCTCCACAGAATTTTCAACCCCTTTTATTTTTCCAACCTGTAAGAAAATATATCAGAAAAAGCCATGTCATCAATCCATATTCCACAACTTAACTTGTCAGAGAAATTTAACACCTCTGCATGAATGCGTAATATAAGGGAGGAGAAAGAAAAGCAAAAATATTTGCCAAAATGCATTTTTTCCTTGTCTACAAGGAACAGAGGATCAGAAAACATATGTATGATCAGCTAAAAAGAAGATACAACAGTCAGAGAAAAAATTTACTGCTCTTTTTAAAATTTTGTTTAAAAAATCTAAATTTAAAAATAAATCAGTTTGAAAATAAAAATTCTCATTTGTAAAATTTAATTTGGTTTAATTTGATTGATTGATTGATTGGTTAATTGATTTATTGATTGGATGGTTGATTGATTAATTAATTGATTGGTTGATTGAAAAGGGACAATGCTCTGCCGGAGAACTGGAGGAAACAGACAATAATCTGGTTTATAATTCATACTATCAGGTCACATATGTATTCAAAACATTTTAGCTTACTTTTTTCTTCTTCTTTTTTACATTCTTTTTTTTCTTTCGTTATTTTCTTTATTTATTTTTTTTCTAGCTTTCTTTATTTCTTCCTTGCTATCTGTCTGTTTTATTTAGATTTTCTTTCTTTCTATTTTTAAACATGCATATTTTATTGTGAAGTGGGTTCCACTGTATCTGATCTCTATGTCTCTACTCTTCTATCTACCAAGAATTTTATGGCTTTCAATGGAGGTAAAAAAATTTGAAAATGATTGATGATGCTGAATATTATTGTGACATATTCTCTTGAAAGCACTTGCATACATTGTGGAGAAATCACAATCATCACAGGAGTACGCCTGCTTTCTCAAATGTTTTACTCTAAAACATAAAAACTTGAATATTTTCCCTAAAGAAAGAATTCTACTTCTAATGATCTTACTTTATATGTACATAATCACAACTATCACACGGAAAAGAGAGGCATAACGGGCTACATAATCACAACTATCACATGGAAAAGAGAGGCATAACGGGCTACATAATCACAACTATCACACGGAAAAGAGAGGCATAACGCGCTACATAATCACAACTATCACACGGAAAAGTTTCCGTTCCTTCCGAATGTTTTGACGCCTTGTGCCTTTTCATATCTATATTCTGCAGAGCAAAATAATCACATTTATCACAGTCAAGTACTCTTGAAACCTTATTCTGATCTATCAAAAATGGAGATTAAGCACTGATTCTCAAATTAAAAGTGCTCATAGTGGATATTTAGATCAAGCAGGGGCGGACACAGGGGAGGGGCGGGGGACATTCACCACCCCCTGACAGATTCAGGGAGGGGCGTAGCCCCTCCCTGAGATTTCGAGGCAAAAAATGTTCCCAATTTTATAAATCGTATGTGTTTTTCAATTTCAAGCTTTTTTATTCAATGGAAATCTTGACTTTCTTTTCTTCAGTTTAATTTAAAAATCAACGACAACAAGTAAATGTTATAGTTAACGATAAATTTAGAATTAGAAATTTGTAAGAAACTAGACTTAAGTTATAATATTGTTCATATTTAGTAATGTTCCTTAATCAATACTCATTTATCAAAACTAGAAATTCAAGGCGCTTCGCGCCCTTCTTTCTAGCCTTAGAGGGCGCTTCGCGCCCATCTCCTAAATTAATTGTGAACATGTTCTCTTTGTGTACATCGTAAAACAAAACAGAAATAATTCGCGGATTTTCACAAAAAAATTCGTGGATTTTGAAAATTTTCAAAAATTTAGCTATCGTGATTTTGAATATTCAACACAAAAGTTCCAATTATCAAATTTCCAAATTAAATATTTTTGCTGATTTTAGCAACTTATTGGATTGGACATTTTCAGGGAGGACTGATGAAATTTTTCGGCAAAGGAAGTCGGTTCAGGTAAATAATTCATTCATTTGTTCTAACTTTTACAGCAAAAGAAAAAATATGAAATAGCAACAAACCCAGAATATTCAGTTAAAAGAAAATTCCATTTGTCAAAATTATTTTTATTAATTATTATTAGCCTGTTATCAGTTTAATTATTATAATTTCATATTTAATTATTGTTTTGATTACTATTTTTATTATTATTATTTTTATTATTTAAGTTTTTATTGTCATTGTTATTATCATTATTTTTTCATTATTATAATTATCATTATTATAATTATTATTATTATTACCATCATTCTTATAACTTTTATTACTATTATCATTATCAAGAATTTTAAAGAAAAAGTTCATTAGTTTTGTTGAATGAACACAATCATTTTAAGTATCTTTATATTATTATCGTTTATTATTATTATCGTATTTCTTTTTATAATGTTCAGTTTGGTAAAAGACCATGATGAGGAGAAAGAAATGTTGATCAACTATTTCCAACAACATGTTAGAAACAGGTCAAAAATAATTAAAACTTAATACTGTGGTAGGCAATTATATCGAAATAATATATATATATAATATATATATATAATATCTGGTAGGCAATGTTATATATATAATGAAGACGACTTTATCATTTAAATTTGAATTGTTGACAAGCTTTTTTCGAACTACAAGTTTACAAGTAATTAAAGAGAAGCTTTTTAATTGACAGCTTCTCTTTTTTCCCCGTGTTTTTGTGCATTCATTCTGTTTAAAAATATGATATAAATCAAAATTTAAATCAAAATGCGATCGATATCCAATGCGAGCACTCTTGAATTTGAGGATTTAAAGGTTGACATCTCTGAGGCAAAAATAGATGAGAATTTTGCCAATTACTTCTTAAAACCAAAGCTTACAACAATTGTGCTTTATAGTGCATGTAAAGGGCTACAGAAAAGCATAAAATCAAAGCCCAAGACACTTCAAAGTCGACCCTGTCTCAAAAGTTGATAAGACTTTTAAAGAGGCAGGCTGAATCTAGCTGGCCCACCACGGTATGTTAAGAAATAATGAAATGAATTTGGAATTCTTGATCCCAGATTCAGAGCACAAAAGTCTTGCACACTTCTTGAAATTGCAAAGTACAATATAATTTTAGCGCCATCTTGGTTCTCACTGAAATTTTTTCAGCTCTTCAAGTCTGGAATTTTTATCAGATTTCTAATATGTTTAGATCAGATGTTTATTTCTACGGGTTTGTTGCTTGTGAAGTAACAAATCTCTGTGTCGTCTTTGCGTTCTTTTTCTTCACTCATTCATTCCTAAACTACAGGTATCATTAGTGTATTTTTGTACCAGTATTGTGTTGACATCGAGAAACTTAATTTTAAGCTAGAGAGCGCGTCCGTTTAACCCACTTTAATCCTAGGTAGACCTAGGGTTAAAAATCCAAGCTGCGCTAATGCCGAAAACTTTTATCATAATCTTACCATGGTAAAAAATGTCTGTCGTCTTCATTCATTTAACCGAATTGTTAGCAATAGAATTAGAGTTTGTGAATTATTTCTAGAGGAGATCGTTGTTTGCAGATCTAGATAGAAAACAAAAATAGTTTGCGATATTATTTAGGAAAGTTAATCACACTCTTTAAAACACTATGCATAAACAGTATTTAATTAGGAAGATAATAAACTTAAAATAATGTCTTTTTAAGTGAAAGAATGTAGTCGTTTCTCTTTAATTAAAAGTTAAAACTCCCTAAGGCTCGGAGAAGGTTACTATCTTCTCTATAGACCCCATACATACTGAGATTGGATTGACACGATGTGTTACTTCAAAAAAGTTTATTGATGTCAAACTTCTTTTGTTCACCCATGTAAAATACACGGCATTTCAAAATATTCTCCAATTTCTAAAATGAACAGAGGTCGGAACTATTTGTTGGGGATGTCGTTAATCTTGATCTTTACATAACTTGTGAATTTGAGGATTAATGCTTGATCTTTTAATCAAAGCTACCACTCCAGGATATAATTGTCACTACAACAAACTCTTAAAACTCACTCCTATGTACAGGATTTGCACTAAAATAATTAACAAGTTGAACAAGCACAATTAATATCATTATTTATATATTTAGATACTTGATTTTTTAAAATATGCCTTTTAAAGTCAACATACGGTCTTTACTTTTAATACTTTAGATAAAGATAGATTGCGCTTAAAGGGAGTGTTTGCGAAAAATTAAAGAGGGTAAAGGCTTGCTGCTAAAAATAAGAGCTTTCGATCGCTACTAGTCTTACTTCTATCTGTTGTGTCTTTCAGGAGAAAATTGTCGAAGACAACTGATACTGAAGAACGCAGCGTCCATACAAATTTAGAAAGTTGCAAAATTCAACTCTGTTCGTAAACAAATCAATTTAATTCCAAAAGAAATCATTACGATATTACAACCCATAATCATCGATGATTTTCGACATTTTCGTATAAAGTTGATATTTCATAATATTTTTTATTTTTTATGATCTGATAGTTACCTTTGAAAACATTTAATCCAGTTTCGAGGATTTTTGATAATGAAGACGACATTTTATCTTACTTCTATCTGTTGTTTCTAGAAAGAGAAAATTGCTTAAAAACGACTATTTGTGTAGGAGGGGGCACTTGTGGGCCCCCATTGGCAACGTTGTGCCCTTCCCCTTAAAAACCCCTTTTTTGAAAAAATATTGATACTTTTTTAACTGTGTAAACTATTCGATCGTATACACACTTCCATTTAACAAGTGTTAATAAATTATTAATGTAATTTTCTTAAGTGGACTTATCAGACACTTCCTCTTGATACTTTTTTATTCAAGGGTAAAGTGAGATTTAAAAATATTTTTTATATGTTGCCCTTCCCCCCTCGTACGCCCCTGAACAGATAGAAGTAAAATTAGTAGCAATCAAAAGTGCTAATTTTTCCTCGTAAGCCTATTTCATTTTTCGCGAACACTCCCTTTCAGTCGACACGACATGAGGTAACTATGATTATTTATCTATGGCTGTAACCCTGTAGATAAAGATGTTTTTGTTAGGTTCCTAGGTTTTGGACTGCAGGTTCTAGAATACTATAGGCTGCCAGCAGAGGAACAAATGGTGAATAGAAAAAATAATAAAAAAACTATGTAGTCTTCGATCATTTATATCATGTGGTCGATATAACTGACCAAACGGCTGAACCAAATTGAATGAAATTCATGGGTATCCCTGATATATCATATGCGAAAATAATCATGAAATTTTTACTTAAACTAGTAAATAAAATAAATAGTAAAAAAAACAAATAATTAATAAAACAAATTGTAAATAAAACAAATGATAAATAAAACAATTTATAAATAAAGCAAATTGTAAATAAAACAAATGGTGAATAAAACCAATGGTAAATAAAACAAATTGTAAATAAAGCAAATTGTGAATAAAACAAATAGTAAATAAAACAAATGGTAAATAAAACAAATTGTAAATAAAACAAATAGTAAATAAAGCAAATTGTAAATAAAACAAATAGTAAATAAAACAAATTGTAAATAAAGCAAATGGTAAATAAAACAAATGATAAATAAAACAAATAGTAAATAAAACAAATGATAAATAAAACAAATGGTAAATAATACAAATGGTAAATGAAGTAAATAGTAAATGAAACAAATGATAAATAAAACAAATGGTAAATAATACGTAAATGAAGTAAATAGTAAATGAAACAAATGGTAAATAAAACAAATAGTAAATAAAACAAATGGTAAATAAAACAAATGATAAATAAAACAAATGGTAAATAAAACAAATGGCAAATAAAATAAATGATAAATAAAGTAAATGGTAAATAAAACAAATGGTGAATAAAACAAATGGTAAAAGAAGAAAAATGTTTTTGATTTGTTATATGGAACCTGATAATTTTGTTTTTCTAATTCTTGTGTGCATAAAATCAAAAATAGAAGACGTAGGAGGTCACAAAGCCATACCACATAAGTCTATTCTGTCAATTTCACAGTGACATGGTTTCAAATTCTTTTCATGTTTGTCTGCAAAAATTGGAGTTATGTTTGCATAGCTCTTATACAACTGCAGATCAAGGTACTAATGCAAGGAAAGTTAATTGAAGTTGCGTATACTCTGCGCACATATTGAAACTAGTTCTCTCTAGGCGGAATTTGTGAACAAGAATAGATGCGTCAGTGTTCGTTTAGTATCCGAGGAGGTTAAAAGTATTAGATTTTGATAATTTGTGAACAAGAATAGATGCGTCAGTGTTCGTTTAGTATCCGAGGAGGTTAAAAGTATTAGATTTTGATAATTTGTGAACAAGAATAGATGCGTCAGTGTTCGTTTAGTATCCGAGGAGGTTAAAAGTATTAGATTTTGATAATTTTGATAATTCACATAATAGTTTCCTATAACAAGTATATTTATTGATTTTTTATGTGAAAGATGGATCCCATTTCAGGCTTAGACATCCGTTTTTTGTTTACATTACCGCCCAGAGACAGTACACTGCAGTACAAGAGATGCGCACACCTCTGACATAACTTTCCTCGCATTATAACCTTGGGCATGTTCGGCTTTTTTCAATTTTTTCCTTCATGGTTCGTTAAAGACCCATTTCGTTAGTTTTTTTTTCAGTTGTTCAAAAAAATGCGTTCGTTCAATTCCATGAAATTATTGTTCATTTTTCATCTATTTCGTTCGTTTTTTAACTGACCGATTGTTCACTTAAATCGTTTGTTCAATGAGAATGCAACTAAGATATTTTAAAAAGTTTTAAGTCGATATTAGGATTTAAAGATTGTTTTTTAGGTTTCTTGGATTAAGAACCCCTTATGTAAAACCTTTCCAAGAGTGGCGAGCTGTGATTATTTTAGGTAAATAAACATGACTTGACCAAGACCTTGACTTACAAAAGTACTTTGACCGTAACCTTGACTTAGAAAGTACCTTGACCTCAACCTTGACTTAGAAAAGTACCTAGACCTTAATCTTGACTTAATAAAGTACCTTGACCTCAACCTTGACCTACAAAAGTACCTTGATCTCATTCTTGACCTTCAAAAATACCTTGACCTCAAACTTGACCTACAAAAATACCTTGACCTCAATCTTGACCTACAAAAGTACAATGACCTCAACCTTGACCTACAAAAGTACCTTACCTTACCTTGACCTTAACCTGGACCTTAACCTAGACCTTACCTTAACCTTAACCTTTGTAACCTTAACCTTAACCTTTTTAATCTTAACCTTAACCTTAACCTTTGTAACCTTAACCTTTGTAACCTTAACCTTTTAACCTTAACCTTAACCTTTGTAACCTTAACCTTTTAACCTTAACCTTAACCTTTGTAACCTTAACCTTTGTAACCTAAACCTTTGTAACCTTAACCTTTGTAACCTTAACCTTTGTAACTTTAATATTAAAAATGACCTAAAGTGACCTATATATATTTTGTTTCTAGATACGGGCCGGGAGGAGGTCCTGAGAAGATTAATTCAATTTGTATTCTCTCCTTAAATATTATTAATGATAAGGTCATAATTATCAGGATGATTTCAAAGAAAAAATAATTTAATTTGTTTTATTTAAAAGATATTACAGTGGTCGGTGTTTTTATCAATACAATGAAGACGACATTTCAATTTGAGAGTTTTTTAAATTTACAAGTTTACACTTAAACAAAGAGGTTTGTTTTCATAGTTATGTGTATCCATGCTGCTTGAAAGCTTGGTAGAAACCAAAAACATAAATCAACAGTTGTCTTCCTTGTAATGATATATACGACGACGACTGTAGTCCCTAATCAATTTTGAATATTAAATATATTGAGCATGTAAGACGACTTGTAGAACCTGCAGATGTTGTATAGCTATAGCTAACATACAAATATATATATAGAAAGGGTGTCTTAAAAAACGGAGAATAAGGGTCCACAGACTCGTTAGTAATCGGATTTTCAAGGTTGAGACCATTTTTAAAATGAATACAATTTCCGATTCAATGAGTCTTGTTTCAGGCATTTATATCTTTAAATGACACTATTTCAAATTTCCAACTCCTATTTGTCACATTTGGAATTGATGTCTTTATGGACAAAGGTTGTCGGATCCATCTTTAAGACCACGAGGCGGAATTGAACTAGGATTTGGACACAAAACACAAAGTACAGAATAAAATAACTCGAAGCAACAATTGCTGAAACCTTTTTTCCACCTGGTCCCACTTAGAACCCACCCGCCTGATGATCATCTGTGCAAGCTAGGTTAGCGCAATAAATTTGCTAACTGAGTCAACAAGAAAACTGAAGTTACAGCAATACCGGAAAACAGAATACACTCAAATAATTACAATGGATTGGATCAGGCGCTAATGGACTCGGCATACAGGAGCGTTGAGATTATTTTTTTTTTACCAAATTTACTCACTCCAGTTGGAAACTATAGGAGCCTTTAAAATCATCGTTCTTAGATCTACAAGCCTAAACTTAGGCTCATCAAATCTGAAATTGTACGCAGATTTTAAAATTGGTCTCAACCGTGAAAATCCTGTTACAGTTGAGTCTGTAGACCCTTATTTCCCGTTTTGTGAAACACCCTGTGCAATACACAAGGTGTGTGTATATATGGGGGCGTCAAAGAGAGGGGAGAAAAAAAGTAAATGATGGGAATTGTCTAGATTTGATGAAAGAGCTGATTACTTGCCTCAAAATCTTCATTCACAGGCAACAGTACATTTGAACTTCCGAGCCGGGTCAACCTTTCCTGTCCCAATTTGTACTGTACCTAGCTCTATTGACAGGACTAGCCGGTGCAACAAGGTTGACGCGGTCAGACTTTATGCTTCATATAGGTTGAATTTACTTTTACTGAAGGGGCAGATTTGCGTGTATTTTATAGTTCTTATCAATTTGCAATCTGAGGCCGAATTATAAAAATTTGAACCTTCAAACATGGTTGGTTCAACTGGAAATTTAAGTAAGTGTTTCGAGATTTGAGTCGGCGCTCAGTTGGAACCGGTTATCCGCGGTTCAGCGACCCAGTTCAAATTCTTTAAATTCAACCTCTGATATCATAGATAATAAACGGCAAAACATTTTTAGTATTTTTTTTTTTTTTTTAAATATTATCGTAAACATTTGCTCTCCTTACACCAATCTAAATTTGATAGAATACTTTTGTGGAAACGAACCAAAAAAATGGTTTTTGCCTTTTTTCTCTTAGGTCAAACATTTTTCATAATTTTATAAAAGCAAACTTTTCTGCGGAATCCAATTAGAAATATTAAATAAAAACATGTTTTGTCGAATTCCAAAAGTCTTAAAATAAAAAAATAAACAAGTTATTTCGCATTTTATAGATTTTTTATATTTCTGTAGATTAAAAATGAAATATCAACGATTTACACCATCAAAAGATTAGATTTTATGACGATTGGTCAAAATTTCTCCCACTAGTAGCATGTAATAAAAAGCCTATATGTTTACAAAATAAAATAATATTGTATTTATGAAATTATAACAATCATCTTAATATTTGAATTTTAGAACTTTTCTGTGTTTTTCTGCTTCCTTCCGCTTTCAAATGATAAATATTCGAATATACAGGTAAAAGCAGGCAAACATAAAGTAGAAAAAAAGATGTCTTACAGTGATGACCAGAAACACTCTGGATTATGAAGACGACTTTTAGACTCGAGTTCTGACGAATAGTCCAATGAGCATTGAGACACAGCAACTGTGCAAAGTAAACTGACCCATTTCACTTTATTAGTGATTAAATAAGTTACCAGTAATACTATTTGTTGTGTAACTACATAAAATACACTTAATCATTGTTGTAATGTTGTCTTTCTATTCCACAGTTTTCTGGTTATCACTGTATAGGATCTTAAATGTAAAAAACAAGGAAGAAATACAGCCGCAACGTGTGTAAAATACAGCCGCAACGTATGTAAAATACAGCCGCAACGTGTGTAAAAAAGTGCGGCACATCGTACACAAAGGTAAATTTTAAAACAGCTTTTTTAATTTCGCTTTATTTTTCAGATATTTGAAGCGTTCTACAAAAAAAGATAACATACAAAACTATATCGAAAAGGAAGGTTGCATTCTAAAAGAAATTATTCGATTAATGGCCCTGAAATCATATTCACAGTTTTTTTGGTATTTTCAATAGAAATGAACTGAGCTTGGAACTCTTGTATTGTGGATATCGAGATTAATGCTTGATCTTCTTTTTTAATCTGCAGATCAATTTAATCTTTATCTGATAATCCGCATGATAATCGTACCCAGTTAGGTATTGAATGGAGTTTTGATTAGGGCAAGATTAACTAAAATCAAGATACAAATAGATAGGCATAGTTTTTATAGATCCTTAAATTAAAAGTGACCACAGTGGATATCAAGATCGGTATAATAAGTATTAACCACAAAAGTTCCCAGCTCTGATTGCACTATATCCCCATACTTACATCTTCATATATATACAATATCAGGTTACAAAGATACAAGGATTAGAAAGATAAAGTTGAAGCAAGTTTGAACATTTTTTTTATAAGAATGCCAAGTCCGCCTAGTGTGCACTGGGAGATTGGTTTGTGCTTTATCAACTGAGTAAAAACTTTCACAGGTTTGTCACATTTATCACGAGAAGAAATTTTTTCTGGTGTAAAATTATGCATTAAAAAAGAAGAAATTAAACCTTTAAAATTTTTAACCATCAACTTTAAAAATCTTCAGACATATCAAATTTAAATAACTTTATATAATTTACAACTGATTTATCCTATACCCATGGACATCCCTGGATTTCCTAAAAAAAATCCTCCAATTTGGTTTAGTTGCTTGGCCAGCTATAGCTAACATATAAATATACATATATATATGAGCGAATATCTTTATCATATGGAAGATTGATTGGGTGGCATAGATTGATATGCATAAACCCTGCATAATTTGATCAGTATTTATCCAAAATGCTTTAATTTGTAAAAGATTGTTTCAAATTAAATTATTTTTTAGAACTTTTTTTGTGGACTTTGTTACAGAACTTAGCTTCCTGGTGAGACTTTTTATTCGAACATAACATAACATAACATAACATATATATATATATAAATCAAAATTAATAAATCTTAAGTAGGGTTGGGCAACATTTCGTTAACGTGGGGAAAGGTTTGAAAATTAACGGAAAACATACAATCCGTTAATGCGGGGAAGGTATGAAAATTTAAAAAATGTCCGTCTACAAACAGAAGTTTTTTAAAGTTAAAATTACAATGGCCGATTCACACAAGTACCTTTAAAAGCTTTATTTGATCAAGTACGTAAGTATGACATAGCGGTCGTTTAAAGTACATCGTAATTTCGAATATAAATTACTTTTTTAAATAATATGAAATCTCAACTATATATATGAATGCATCGAATTAAACTCTATATTTTTACATAGGTTGTTATATCTGAATGATATATTTTAAATTTGATTGAATCATTTACGATCTAAGTGGAATAATGCCACTCATTAGATTTGTATGGGGCCTACGCTCTTGGATATAAGACGTTTTTAACTATTTTCTACTTATAAACAGAATACAAATAGAAGTAAAATAAATAGCGATCAATATCGAATTCAATTTGGAATCAGCTTTTATTTTTCGAAAAATTAATTTTGAGAAGTAAAGAGAAGTGGTTCAAATTAGTCTTTGTAGTTCAACTACTTCTCACGTTCATTAAATCCGATCCCAGGTAATTAAAAGTCTAATTTCTAAACCACTTCTCTTCAAATTGAATTAGCGCACATAAAGGTTTGCGTTGTTTGCGTAGTTTGATATTCATTCTGGTCTCAGAAGGAAAAACGCTTGTCAAACATAAAGGAATTCTTTTACAACTTTTACAATTCCGTTTTACAGGACGAGGACACAGAAGAGGAGAAGGATATAGATGATGCTGTATCTTTACTCATCAGGTTAAAGTTAAACCCTATTGAGCTTCTTGATCTTCTTGATCTTCTTGATCTTCTTGATCTTCTTGATCTTCTTGATCTTCTTGATCTTCTTGATCTTTTTGATATTATTGGTCTTCTTGATCTTCTTGATCTTATTGATCTTATTGGTCTTCTTGATCTTCTTGATCTTTTGATCTTTTTGATATTATTGGTCTTCTTGATCTTCTTGATCTTATTGATCTTCTTGATCTTCTTGATCTTCTTGATCTTCTTGATCTTCTTGATCTTCTTGATCTTCTTAATCTTTTTGATATTTTTGGTCTTCTCGATCTTCTTGATCTTTTTGATCTTCTTGATCTTCTTGATCTTTTTGATATTATTGATCTTCTCGATCTTCTTGATCTTCTTGATCTTTTTGATCTTCCTGATCTTATTGGTCTTATTGGTCTTCTTGATCTTCTTGATCTTCTTGATTATATTTAAATATTGTGTTTAGACCCAGCTACAGTGCACAAGTATCAGAAGATTCTCCAGATGCATCTAAGTGAACTCTGTTCTTCTATTCCTCAGTATTTTAGTTAATATAATGTTAGTATTGCTTCTAATTAATAAATGTAGTTTTATCGTTTTTAACTTTAGCTCTCCAAGTCGTCATTTTCCCCAGTAAACAAAAAATTTCGCTGATTTTTCAGATTGAAATTGAGGGATTTTCAAAAATCGTAAAAGTAAAAATGAAAAGTTTGACACGATTGATTCAGCCGTTTTGAAGTTTTTTTGTATACATACAAACCAAAGTGAATAAATACTAAAGTGGTCCAAACTCATAGTTGGATGACGACATTTTATGTCCCAAGTATTTATAAATATGTATATATTATTATATATATAAATTGATCTGTATACGGAGTGTACAGTACAACAAGAAACTGGACTCCCTTTGTTTACAAACACAGACTTAGAATTTGTATTTAACTTAATTAAGATTTAAGAAATTATTTCCAAACCAAATAAAACCTTATGGCCCAACCTGTCGTCGTTGCCTTAGTCTGTTCTACTTTAGTATTTATTCACTTTGCATACAAACACACTAGCAGATAAGGCAAATTAGAATATATAGAAGAAAAGGCTGTATAGAGATAATTAAATCGTTTGTAATGGTTAAACTCGGCCTTAAATTATTCTTGAGTTGCATTCTTGACATGATTGAAGCTATGACAGGAGTAGGACAATGAAGCCAGATAAAAAATGTTCAGCCACGAAAAAAAAGGTAACAATTACAGTTACACTTACAGTTACAGTAACAGTTACAGTTACAGTTACAGTTACAGTTACAGTTACAGTTACAGTTACAGTTACAGTTACAGTTACAGTTACAGTTACAGTTACAGTTACAGTTACACAGTCACAGTTACAGTTACAGTTATAGAAAGTAAGTTGTTATAAAAGTGATTAGCCTTTTTCAAGTTATTTCATTAATTCATTATTTCTTCATTTTTTACTGAATACTAGTTACTTTTCCATAAATTCATGTTTAAAAGAACCTTTCCTTCAATTTAGAATTATGAAATAGATACCACTAGAGATAAGTGTGTTCCTTTTCATTTCGTTCATTTATAATTTGTGAACTAACATTTCGTTCTTTTTTTCAATAGATCAAAAGAAATTGATTTTGTTCCTTCTTAAAATTATTGTTCAATGAAATCGTTTATTTAGCTAAAAAAACGTTTGCTTTTTAAAAAGTTTCTTGAAAAAAATCTTTTGTTCAGTAAAAAACATTCGTTTTTTTAAGAGTTTGATCTAATAATTCGTTAGTTCAGTAAAAAACTGGGGTTTTTTTATCAAAACCTTCTTACTATCTGATTTTTTATAATATATTTTCTTTTTATCTGATTTTTTATCATCTATCTTCTTTTTATCTGTATCAATGCTCTATCGATCTGTCTTTTATATAAATATCTATCTAACTGTTAAATTATCTTTCTATCTTTTATCTATTTATGCATCTTCTCTTTAACAGTCTATCTTCTATATATCTTCTAACTATCTGGGTTTTTATCTATCTATCTTCCAACTATCTGGTAATGTATCTATCTATCCGAATATGTCTGAGACTCGAGGTTTCTTTAGGGAGGGTAGATGAAAGAGGGGAGGAGGTTGGTATGGGGGGTGGACGGGGGTATGGAAATGGGGGATAGGGGGTATGGAAAAGGGGAATGGGGGGCGTCGAGGACGGGGAGCCCAGAATGACGAAGCGGTTTCTGAAAGGAATGGGTTGAGTTGAGTTCAGTTTCACATTGTGCATCAATGCGTCAACTTCGGAGGCTGGAACTTTAACGAACACAGATCAGAGATTATATATTTTCTTTAAATTCCTGGCTCTGGATTTTAAAAATTCAATTTGAAATGATGTACAAAAAAAACATTTTTAATGATTTTTTTTTTCAGGAAAATGTTAAATGTCTCGCAGGCTTTGGTTTTCAAAATAAAGCCAAGACTGAGTAGAAATAGGTAATTTTTTTTCTTCGGAAATTTCATTTGTTATGTTACAGTGGTACCCATAAAACAGTAGGGGCTTAGGAGAACAACATTTAAGCATTCGTGCATTTAATGTTGTTTTACAGCAACTAGGTTATTAGGTGAAATGAGTCTCTGCACACTGCACAATTGCTGTGTTTATTGTTCATTAGACTTTACCATATCAATAAACACACCTAAAAAAATTTACTTTGAAAAGTACATTTTTTAGATAATGTTGTTAACTTTTGATATTTGCAGGACTGATGTTGGACCCTTGAAACGGAAGAGTGAAGATTGATGCTGCAGAAAATTGAAGAGAAAGGAATATTGCAGAAAATTTAAAAATAAAAAATAAAATAAAAATGTTTCTTTAATTTGTAGAACTTTTTAAATTTTTGTTAAACGTTAATTTTGAGTGATCATAGAGCACCAATCTTGCAGACAAAAAAGACGATCATAATAATGAAAAAAAAACCATTTATGTAAATTAAGCTTTTCATGTCTCAAAACTATCTCTGCAAATTTTCCCGCCATCCATCTCAAAAATTATTTCTTGATATTATTCTTTTTGGGAAATTCATTTTTTGGTAAAGTCGAAAATTAATAATTGAAATACCTTTTAAATTTTATTCAACTTTTATATGTAAATTATCATTTGTGTAATAAAAATGTCTTAACAGATAAGGCTATTACAAGAGAACTACTTGGAGAGATAATAATAAAAAAACTTTTTGATATAAAAATCAAAAATTAAATTGTTTCAATAAATTAAAGTATATTGTGATGTAATTTGTAAATTTTTCATTTAATGTTAAAAAATGGAATTGTAATGCTTTTTTCCAATAAATAATAAGCATATAAACATTTTTACATTTCGTTATATTCTTCAAAAAGGGGTGGATCAAATAAGTTGGCGGGTTAGTAAAAGCTAAGATGTGTCTTTTTAAAAGAATATTATCATATTTAAAAACAGGAAAGTGGCCTTTGGCCTTTACTATAACAGCCTGTATCCAACTGGGCATAAAGTGGGTAAATTGCTTCGAGGTCTTCATGAGGATTCTGTATCATGTGGTGAGGAGGCTTCTCTTCGAGGTCTTCATGAGGATCCTCTAACATGTGGTGAGGAGGGTTCTTTTCGAGGTCTTCATGAGGATCCTTTATCATATGGTGAGGAGGGTTCTTTTCGAGGTCTTCATGAGGATCCTCTGTCATGTGGTGAGGAGGGTTCTTTTCGAGGTCTTCATGAGGGTCCTCTAACATGTGGTGAGGAGGGTCTTCATGAGGATCCTCTAACATGTGTTGAGGAGGGTCTTCATGAGGATCCTCTAACATGTGGTGAGGAGGGTTCTTTTCAGAAACTGGTTTTTGAATAGTCGAAGTTTGACGTTCTCAAGCTTATCATCAAGGATAGCCCACCAATTTCAGAGTCTATGCTGTCGGCTATTCTGTACCAAATGTACAGATGTATTTTTTATTCTTAAAGCAGCCTCCGCATTCTGAAGACGAACTCTGTCCTGCTAAAAGATTAACTTAGACATGTCTGGACCAGGTTCAAGGTTAAATTTAGAACCTCTCTATGCACTTTTTTCAATATAGTTTTAGAGGGAAGGGTGGCAGATCTTGTGGATTTTGGGGGGAAAAATAGTCCTGCTGTACAGTTGTACCATCTGTTGTACCATCTGTATCTATTAAACAGCATGGATATTGGACACACATAAACATAGAAGTCAAGAAAAGTTGTCAATAAAAAAGCTTCTAATTGATCACTCGTAAACTTTAAATTAGAATAAAGCTTTTAACAATCAAAACTTAGATGAAAAAGTCGTCTCATTGTATTGATGTAATCGCCTTCCACTGTATACTTTTTTTTGCTGTCTGTCTGTTTGTATCCAAAAACAAAATGCTAAAACGGCTGAACCAATCGGGCCCAAATTTTTTTTAGCAACTCACACAAACCGATTGAATGTTTATAGAATGTAAAGTGAACAAATTTACCTTGAATAAAGACGACTTATATAAATTTTACAAATCTATCAATCTATCAGTGTTGATAAAACAATTTTCAACATTTTGAGTTTTACTGCTCCTAAGAAAGCACACCGAGTTTACTGGTTTAAATTAAGTATAAAAAATGTAAATAAATTGTAGTTGCCAAACATGAAAGTCTCAATTTATGAAATTTAATTTTTAAACATCCTGAGTTCCGGTGTTTCTGGTATTTACAATAATAAAGCACCAAGCTAATATTTATGTTTAATATTTTTTACTGAACGATATTTTTGATAAATTTTTCGTTTGGAAAAAATTAAAATACGATCGTTTGTTAAAAACAAACGAAAACAAAATTGTTAATCAGAAATATTTTTTCTGATTGTTTTTAATAAACTTTTGAAAAAAAGATCGTATTTTCTTTTTTTACTGAACGAACAATTTTACTGAATGAGTGATATTACTGAACGATCGTTCAGTGGAAATACAAAATAGATGGAAAATGATTGATAATTTTGAGAACAATAAATCATTTTTTACAATTAAAAGATGAACAAAATGGGTCGTTCACAAACGATAAACAAACGTCATGAAAAAAAGTAGTATAGGCTTAATGTTTAAAGAGCTCCACTGTAAGCTTGAATAATTTATTTTGTAGATTTTCAGACGTCTGCTCCTGTAAAGTTTTATCCTGGTATAAAAAGAGAGACATGAAATAGAATTCTAAATGAGAACGGAATGACAAGACAATTCTAAAGCTCGGAGCCGGCCTAATGTAAAACTTAGAAAGAAAAAAAGTTTCAATAAAAATTTTCTCTTCCATACAATCTACAATTTAATGAAGGAATTGAATCTTCGCCATAGGTTCTTCTTAATATTATGGCATAAAAACAAAAACAAAAATATCTTAATGATATAATTTACTTTTAGAAGATCACTTCCCTCTCTCCCCTTCCCCCCCCCCCCATCTATCCTGTAACCAGTATCTTGAATTTAAGGCATGAAATATTTACAGAAATTTTGGCAAAATTTTCGCAAATCTTACAATTCATATCTTTGTATTTGAAACAATTTCACGTGGCTGTTAATAATTCATGTATTTAGATTTTCCTATTTGAAAGTTAGAGACGGAGGAGGGGGGGCATGATAGAATAGTAAAAAAAAGTTTCTTGAATTCCCTTTTCCCCCAATTCCCCCCCTTTCCTGTGAAAATATAAGAATGAATAAAATTATCAATAATAACTGATAAAAAATTTTGTTCCTTCTCGCGCAATGCCCGACATGGTTCTCTTAAAGGATTTGTCTGATCAATCATGAATTAGATTTCAATATTATTGTTTCTTAAAACTGTATATTTTCATTTGCGAGTTCTCTGCGAAAATGATTTCACTTCCTGTTTTTAAGAAACTCTAAGAAATAAGCACTTTTCAAGTCAGAAAAGCGACGGTATCTTTCACATTTTTGATCAGAGCTGAAAATTTTAGAATGGTGGATATCGAGATTAACGCTTGATCATCTCTTTTTCTTAATATTTAGACTAACCTAATCTTGTACTTGTATCCTGAATAGTGTATAAAATATTTTTGAAATTTTGAGCACCATTTAAGATTAATTTACAGAAATGGGAGGAATTCTCTAATTTAAAAAACCAGTTTTTGATTTTTCTCTACTATATCCAAGAAAGAACGGCTTAAGAAGAAAATCAAAAGTGTGTCCATTGGATACTCAGATTAAGTTATCGAGGGATTAAGGATATCTTATTCTAAAGTTTTCAGCTCAGATTAAGATTCAACGGGTGTCGTTGTAAATCGGGAATTGCCATCCTTGCAAGAAGGGTCACTTGAACTTACGCGCACTGTCCCTTTAGTGACAATCCCTGAAACTCTTTAAATTATGCCAATCTCACACCTCTGCCCTTTAATAAAAGTAAATTCAACATATATGAAGCATTAAGTCTGACCGCGTCAACCTTGCTGCACCAGCTAATCCTGTTGATTGTCTGCTTTACTAACCCAATGTCCGTGCGATACAGTACAAACTGGAACCGGAAAGATTGACCCGACTAGGAAATTCAAATGTACTACGGCTGCCCATGCAATTTAAAGATATGCTTGTTGACACAAATAAAAGAACAACAGGGATATTCGGTAACTTTATTGAATAATAGCATGAAATGAGAAATAAAAGCAAAGTTTAAAAATATTGGCCCTTAATTGGGAGTATCTAAACGGTTGAAAATGAAATAACATTGATTAATAGTGTTGAAAGGAAAGGAACAGTTGGAGCTTCATGATAGTCAGCTCACAGGTGTCAGCATCTTGGCAGCAAAGGGTTCACATCTAGGCGACGGTCCTGGTGGGTTTGCAGTCTGGATTATGTGTAGGGAGGAACTTGAATTGCCTCTCAACCCCGGGACATGCGACTGCTTTGTGGATTTGGACATGATGGACGCTTAGACATTAGCAGCATTTGTTGCTAGAGTAGACATCGGCGGCAGTATGAAGGAGTTAGTAGTTCCAGATCAGAGGTGTTCACATCTCGACATTCTAAAGCTAACTGACGCTGTTCCCCACAAGTAGAGGCGGTAAGGGGGGGGGGGAACATGAGGAGACACATTTGGAGCGGATATAGTATTGTAGTATTGTGAATCTTCCGCGGTCAACTTCGCTACACAGTAGTAATCGTCTTCGTGTTTTCTTGAATTTGTTAACAATGCTATTTTCATCCGCCAAACTGCATTGGAGGATGTTTCGGAGGAGGTTCGGAGGAGAAGAATAAGGTTTGGATGTAGAAATGAGTTGATTATCCTCGTTCAATTCTAATTCTCTATGAGTCAAAAGAATAAGAAAAATATTCTCAAAAAACTTGTTGCAATCTCCATTAAATATTTTGAATGTAAAGATTGCAACAACCTTCCTCCATTGTTAAGACCATTGTGTGAAGTTCTTGTTCAGTTAGAACCCTTCATACTTGTACAGGGAATACTTCAAAATAATAAATTATGTCTAAAAAAAGATTAAAAGTGTTTTTAATGTATGTCCCACTCTTTTTTAAACATAGTTTTCCATAAAGATCATTTTCTAATGATTTTTTTGGGATATGCTCTTTATTCCTTTTATCCAGATATCATTAATCAAATTTTAACATTTCATATATTCTTTAGAAAACTATTTATTTTATACAATCTTAATCTTAACTGTAGAATTTAAGATTTGGTAAAAGATTCTAAGTTCAGGTTTGCTCCTATTATTATTTGAATTTAATAATTTTTCATTTTTAATAGATTTAATTGATAATATAATTGGTACGTTCATATCAATTGACCAGAATCTGAGTTTTTCTGGCTCCTCTGGGATATCGTCGTTTTCAGATTGGT